AACACCAAAAGAAGGGAATTTTTAAGAACAAAAACTTTTTCCAAGACACTAAATGTTCAAATATTGAAATAAATGTATTAGCACATTTTATATAAATTTGTCATTAGAGTGGTCCTATGAAATCCATCTTTTTTATTTGAAATTTATCATGAAAGTCATCTTCTAGAGACTTTTGAAACTCTTTAAGACGAATGTTTTATAGCTGAATTTGTTGCCTGTATCTCTTCTAATAAAAAAGATATACTCAAATATAGTAAAAAATATGAATAAATTCAAATTGATTTTATACGATTTTTAAAAATAACATACCTCCAATTTTTTTCATATTATTGAGAATGACATACGCTCTTTCAAATGCTGCAAAAAAACTTTTTTTTTGTTTGCGCCCAACAGAGATATTAACATTTTAAAAGTGCATACTTTTAGTATAAAAACGTCAATAACTCTTGATCGGCGAAAGATATTGACAAGCTTTGTGCATTAAAAATTTGCGCCTTTTTAAGATCTAAAAGTTATCTGTAGGCATCTTTGCTGAGAAATTCGAAATAAGATAAATAGAGCAAAAAAACTGTATTTTTAAGAGCCACCCTAACTCAATTCAAGAAAATAGCTCTAAATCGGCCAATTTAAGAGATACAAAAAAGTTATTTTCTACAAAGTTGCTTGAAATTAGCTCAGCTATAACTTTGCCGAAAAATGTATACCTTAATTTATTCAAACAAAAAAGTTATATTTTTGATTTTAATGATAATAAGAACCACCCTAGAATTCATTGTCATAAAAATAAGGGCCTAACTTTAAAAAACAACTTTGTAGAAGAGACTTTTAGTCTAAAGTTCCAATTTCAGGCTCAAAACATATCATTACACCTAAATCTGCATTCTGGACCACTGTGCAGTGGACTAAAAATGCTTCGCACTAATGGCATGGTTCCTCTGTCGAAGAGCATTACCGCAATAATATACTGGTTAGCATTGACTGACGGGGTATGCTTTAATTTCATCATTTGCTTGTATTAAGTATCGATAAGTCTTAGTTATGTAAATAAGATTTAAGTCTGTCAGGTTTCCGACTAGAGTTACTTTGGCAGTGGCAGTGTCCATGATGTCTTATTGGCTAAACATCGATTTCAGTGACAAGGATTCTTCGTTCACTGTGTTTCATGACTTTGACTATTCGGTCAGCGACAACTTCAACCCCAGTTCCTGTTATGTTAAGTACTATCCACACAATTAGTTTTTTTTCTACCGAACTCGGCTGAGCAAATCTCGGCAGGCCATTACCACTTGTACCTGTACAACCTCTAGTGCTACATGTATTCCACAACCAAGTCACTGGTATCACATGTTGTTCAACATTGAATTTATGAAGTTCTTGTAAATGTAAGAAGATTAATTACAGATTATCGAAAAAAAAAGTTAATTAAAATTTGTTGCATAACATTTTTTTGAAACATTCACAAACCGGAAGCCACCATTTTGGATTCCAAAATTGCGTGAATCATCGATTTCTGGCCTGTACACGTCGTTCCCGTTCCGAAAATATCCATTTTGTTGGCTATTTGACAGTTTTTCACAAAACCGGAAGCCGCCATCTTGGATTCCAAAATGGCATGAATCATCGATTTCCGGCCTCTACGCGTCGTTCCCGTTCCAAAAATATCCATATTGTTGGCTATTTGACAGTTTTTCACAAAACCGGAAGCCGCCATCTTGGATTCCAAAATGGCATGAATCATCGATTTCCGGCCTCTACGCGTCGTTCCCGTTCCAAAAATATCCATATGGTTGGCTATTTGACAGTTTTTCACAAAACCGGAAGCCGCCATCTTGAATTCCAAAATGGCATGAATCATCGATTTCTGGCCTCTGCATGTCATCTCGGTTCCAAAAATATCCTTATTGTTGGCTATTTGACAGTTTTTCACAAAACCGGAAGCCGCCATCTTGGATTCCAAAATGGCATGAATCATCGATTTCCGGCCTCTACGCGTCGTTCCCGTTCCAAAAATATCCATATTGTTGGCTATTTGACAGTTTTTCACAAAACCGGAAGCCGCCATCTTGAATTCCAAAATGGCATGAATGATCGATTTCCGGCCTCTACGCGTCGTTCCCGTTCCGAAAATATCCATATTGTTGGCTATTTGACAGTTTTTCACAAAACCGGAAGCCGCCATCTTGGATTCCAAAATGGCATGAATGATCGATTTCCGGCCTCTACGCGTCGTTCCCGTTCCAAAAATATCCATATTGTTGGCTATTTGACAGTTTTTCACAAAACCGGAAGCCGCCATCTTGGATTCCAAAATGGCATGAATCATCGATTTCCGGCCTCTACGCGTCGTTCCCGTTCCAAAAATATCCATATTGTTGGCTACTTGACAGTTTTTCACAAAACCGGAAGCCGCCATCTTGGATTCCAAAATGGCATGAATCATCGATTTCCGGCCTCTACACGTCGTTCCCGTTCCGAAAATATGTATGTACTCATGTTGTCCGGTGAATCCACTGGATGTACACTTCCAAGTTTGTTTTTTTGGCTAAGTCCATTCCTCAGAAAACACTTAGAATGTTTTGGCTCTTTAACCGCGTTATTTCAAAAAACCGTGTAAAAAAAAACCGCGTTATTTCAAAAAACCGCGTAAAAAAAAACCGCGTTGTTTCGAAAATCGTCGTAAAAAAAACCGTGTAAAAAAAAACCGCGTAAAAAAAAACCGTGTAAAAAAAGACTTCAGTGTATATGCTTTGGTGGCATTGTTTATATGCGAAAATGGTATCGTTGATTGCAGTATGACGAGTAAGCTTAAGTAGATGAAAAGTTTTAATTACTTTAAGACTATAGGGCGATTTGTCCAGCCGTGGGTACTTTCAGCAACCAACATTTATTCCACACTGGATGTTCACATAAAAAAGAGAGTCGCGAGATGTTTTCATATGATTCTATTCGATTCACAAATGGATCGCATTTCTGATGCACATCTGTTGAGAAAGTTTTCGTAAAATTTCAGACACTTTTAAGATTAACGAAGTTGCCTGAAACCCCATGAAACTTCCCAAGTAACGATTCAGCAACCATTTAGCATCCTTTCTGATTTATGATGGTTTTATAACGGCAATGAACAATCCATTTAGTTTAAATATAGTATTTTAAAGTGTAAAACATTCCTGCTTAGTAATTCAGCTTTTTGCTGTTTTAAAAACCTTTTATAGTCTGGCAAGAAAGTCAAAAACTGTCTTGTTTTAAAAATAAATTTAAAACAGTTATCAATCCCTCCTTAAAACGGTTCTGTAATTCAAGCATAAACGTCATTAGCAATTGTTTATTAATGTCACCATAAAATATTTTATAAACGTGTTCTATCATCATAAAAGCAACCATAAAACAATTAGGTTTTGCATTAGAGAAAAAAAGCATTTATTGTTGCTTTTTAGCCTTTTTAAAGTGCATTAATAACTCCCCAATTACTTTGTTTACAAATTGAACTTAAAAGATGGTTCCTCATAGATAACAAATGCCAAATTTATGACAAGGAAATCTCGAAAGATAGACGAAGTAGGATGAAAAAATCAAGTCAATTTCTGATAAATTTACTACTTTAGAAGAACCAGCACACCACCAACGACTGACCATCTGTCGGAGAAGAGTAAAGTGAGCGGGGCCCTCGAACTCATAAAACATTGTCTAAAGTTTAAAAACATACCAGCCTTCTCCAGATCTTGCAATGACAATCAAAATAACAACCGACAGCAAACCACTGATACTGTTAGTTAGCGGAGATTAGCTGGTTTCCGATCCAAAGCAGTGATTTTATTCGGCGAAAGACTCTTCGAAAATTTCATTCAACCGTACATCTCTGCATCATTGGATGGTGCACTTCTGTAACCATCCGGAAGAAGGGGATCTTTTTCGGGAACGATTGCGCTTCCAGCTGTTCGAAATGCAAAATGTTGTAAAATAGTATCGCAAACTATCTGAGTAACTGCTCCCAATCCATCGGGAGAAAAGCGCCTGGAAGAATCCTGGATCTCACAGCGCAACTATCGAAAGATAAACAAACTTTGACGTTTTACTTTTTGCAGGCAACTTTGCCTCCATAAATGCTGCCATAAATCGGAATGGGTTAGGATCAAGCAAAATGGCTTTAGATAAATACAATTCAGCCTGCAAGTTTTCTTCATAAAAGCCATTTTAAAACCTTATTAATTTGTTAAGGAATTCTTGAAATCAAAACAACTTTTTCACAAATGACCCATGAAAATCAACTTTTATGCCACCGCCATGTTACAATTAGTTGGTTTGTTTTTTACAATCTTCGATTTTCAATCAATATTTCCTTAGATATAACTATAATTTAGCAATGAGCAAACATTTAAATGCGAAAATAATAAAAAAAAAATCTCGACCAAGCTCGATCTGAAGAATATAATTTTTTTTTTTCAATGTTAAATAATTAGTCAAATCGACGTTTTACGAGGGTGGGCTTAATTTTTTCGATGTTTTCACGTACATTTCACATAAAATTTGATATGGCACTTAATGAGAACCATTTTAATAAATTTGGATATTCAACAAGATTTTTATACCATCAGTATTTTAATTATTTTGATAAGATCGGATTCATAAATCCTTTTCTATCTTGATTGATTCTTTCCTAGTGGATTCAGCATGCGGCTAGGGGAAATGGCTCGGAAAGGGTTTTTATTGTTGCTAAATAGCTTTATTGTAGCTTTCAAATGGTTCTCAATGCGTTCGTCATACAACCTTTTGCAGTAAATCAATCTTGAAGAGCTTCGATAATACACCCTTCAGAACCTTCTCCAGGGTGGGCCAACTAGACATATTCTAGTCTTAATGAGGTTTTGGTGGATGCATTAATGACAAAATAGCCTTGACCAGGGTTTTATGAATGTTGTTTCATAGTTGCTTTGTAGTATTTCATAAAACTTAAAATGTTACTTGGGTTACCTAATCGATTTTGTGTATTATTATCATTTCAGATTTCCGGACGTTGCCTTGAATAACTGTAAGTATTGCTTTTTTGATAACTTCCTAAAAAGGACACCCCAAATTTCAAAATAAGAGGAATTTGTGTTTTTTTTACTCAATTATCTTAAAGATAAATCACAGACATGAAGTCTGATCCACTTAGAATCCGGACGCATAAAACCAGGTGTTTCCCGGGATTGATTTGACGTAAGAAAAATGTAATTTATTCAAAATCAATGGATTTCATTGTAATTCATAAAAAATAATTGCAAAATTACTCCGACGGTGTTCGGATGAACTCACGGACTTTCTTTGGAATTCCCGACATCAGCTGCCGCACACTGGTTTTGAGTTCACAGCTGCAAATTCCTTGCCATATCATCAGTTTCCAGAATTTTTCGGCGAAATAAACTCGAATTTGCTGGGGACATCACCCCGTGCTGTGGCCAAATAAAACTTTTGTATGGGAACCTGCCTAAAATTCATTTTTACATAGGTTTCGTCTTTCATGAGAAGGCATCCTCTGTACTTCGTCAGAACCCGGTCGTACAGCTTCGCGAATTCGTGTTCTGGCACTAGATCCTGCTCTGTTGTTCTGTTTGGTTGTTTGAAGGCACGGAATGAACGGTAACCTGCTCGCAGATGGATCTTCCGGACCATGCTTGGCATGCACAGTTGTACACACCAACTACTCATTTGTTAATAACTTTTAACTCAGTTGTTGAAATTTAGTTTCCTTCAAGGTAATTGATAGATTAAGATCATAGTTTGCTGTAAACATGCAAAGATTAGGTAAATCTTATAATTTAAATCAACACCAATGAATTTTTACACTTAAAGTCCGAGATGTGCAGCGAGCATTTCTCAATTAATTTTTGTAACGCAAAATCAAGACAGTTTATTACTAAAATTAAAATCTCCTTTTTTTACATATTTCATATTTATGAAAAGCTTAAACTCTCTTCTATCGACTGCTTCAAACAGAACTATGTTTCACCACCTCTGTGCAAAGTTATTAGCAAATGAGCAGTTCGTGAGCAAAAGTGTGTATGCCAAGCATGCTCCGGACGGTACTACGGCCGGCGTCGTATTTTTTTTTTTTTTTGCGACATCCCGATCCGAGATTCCTGGGTTTCTCTTTATCGATCTCAACACCTTTCAGTTCAACTGCCGACCCAAAGTTCTAGCCCGACGTTTGCTTTGAACCTTCCGGCCTCACTCTTACGATCACGGAACCGCTTGAGAACATCTCCTACGGTAGAAACGGCATTTTTCAACTTTTTCGCGAAATTTCGAAAGGGTTTTCGACGTGGGTGTGCCGGATCAATTTTCTTTTCTCGTATTCCAACTAGTACAACTTATATGATCTGCACGTATCGAGACTAAACTTTCACCACTGAAACACGTTTACTTTCAAAACAAATCGCTGTTAAAACATTCCAAATCCGACAACTAGAGGCACTGTTGTAGAATAAAGAAAGTATCCAGATTCTAAGTGGACCAGCCTTTACAAAAGTAACTCTTTAAATATTTTTTCCTTAAACATATCGTCACGGAACACACTAGCGATATCTCGCGAGCTATTCACGGAACAAAGCTTGCTTACCAAGTCTCACCACAATGTTGCATACAAGTTCGATAGGATGTATAGAAACTACAAAGTGATCCGATGCTATCGCTGTGGTGAGAGGTTCCTGCGACTAATAATATTTATATTGAACGTCAAAATTGTGTACACGGTTAGAAAAAAGTACTCAAAATTAAGTTCTTTTCACTCATCTCGGCACTATGGTGCAGGAACCCAAAAGTAGGTAAAGCGGGTCAAAGTAAATTTCATTTACTTGTGTGCAATTCGTATGGAATTTTCCACTGGATTTTTAACCAAAAGTAAGTTAGTTGTACCCACCAGTAGGTAAATATGAACGTTGGGTTCCCACACTTTACTACCCCTGTTGGGTGGTTTTGCTCCTCCGTTTTTGACAACATTTGAAGGAGAAAAGGAGACAAACTAGTCAAAAGTAGTTAAAAGTGAACTTTCCGTTGGGTACTTTTTTTCTTACCGTGTACGAGAATTGAGGAGCAAAAGTTACATCAGCTCAACCATTGTAGGTTGTCATCATCATCATCATCATCTGCTTTGAAAAAAAGTTCCATATCTCAAAAAACTCTCTTAGAAGTCTCTCTTCATGATTAATTCTGTCATGATAAATTTAGAGCTCAAACCCAACTCAACGGCGGACACCTGGTAAGATCTATAAAAAAAAGAGTTTTTTTAAGAATAAATGCAATCACTTCAGTTTTTCAGTATGTTATTAAGCAAAATTTCGGCTGTATTTTCGTAAAATTTTTGCCCAAAATATTATTTTTGTGCTGTTGGCAGTCCTTTTCTCGAACCCACTTTTTTCACCTTGCGAGACAGGGATCTCGAAGAACTCGATCTATTTTCGAGTCGATTAATTTGGCTGATTCTTTTGTCCACGATTTAGAAATGAATTATCTAAAATCTAACATTGGATTTTTCGGATTTTCCAACGTTTAGATTTTTTACGCGCATTTGACGTCACCATTTTGGTAATTTTGCAATTTTCGAAAAAAATTCTATGTTAGATTTTAGAAATTTCAATGAAGAACTCAAAACACTAATCATTTCTTTTCTCTGTTGGTGCACTGCTGACAACGCTGTCCTGCAAGCGATAGAAACATCGCCTGCATCAGAGACGATGTTATATAAGGGACTCGCGGAGAGAATAAAAGTAAATCTGGTTGCACAGCCAACTAATTTCTGTTTCTGCAAGATTTGGCAACCCGCAGTTTTGTGTTAAAATGAATACTTTTTAAACCGTATCGGTAGTATCGCTATTCAATGGAAGTATTTGAAGACTCAATTTTTGACAACTCTGAGAGAAACCAAATATACCACATTGGAGGGTATATTCCACAGAGCGTTGCAAAAAATTATTCAATCTGCAATTGTTGCTTCCTATCATGTATAAGCTAAATCTCTTTTTAAGTCTTTCACAAATTTCACTATCTTGAAAAATTACACCGGAAACGCCTTGATCTTTGTTACAGAGTTTGTGTAGATGTATTTCGTTGTGCTGGAGCAAATATTTCGTGAAAACATAACGAGAATACAGCTGTTGAATAAAAATAATATTCCCTATCCAATTTCACTTTTCATACGCAAACTTCATTTAAATCTCAACAGTTAACCAGCGTCTGGCTGAAAATCTCCTTAATAAAAACAACCAACCTCAACAATTAAATTAAACCCCAATCTTAATACTTCCCAAGCTTTTCTTCGTGAAGCGCTCGTGTTTATTTACATTGCTCGATTGGAACCGCGTTTGACGGTTCGATTGGAACTTTTGGTTTCAGTCTTCGCACGTCTCTTATTCAATATCGTCTCTGGTCTGCATCTGTCTGGTTGCAGGGCTGCCTAATATTTCGGACTGAAAATTTTCAAAAATAAAGCTGAAATGTTACTTCATAACATATTGAAAAGCCAAAGTGATTGCTCAGAGGTGCAAAATATCATGACACTCACTCGACACTCGTCAACGCATCAACCGACTATCGCTGACAGAACGTTTTGTCAAGCAGTGAGGGCAGAGCCATGGCAAACAACAATCACCAGTAATGGTCGCTGATCACAGGCAAAACGTAATACTCGCTGCTGATGATGTGAAGCACAACGAAAAAATGGTGAAGACTTCTGCAGTACGATGATGAGAAAAAGGGAAATGACAGAAGAAAATGAAAACAATGCCTACGCATTCCAAGTTCGACTCTGCACGCGTGACTTGTGTGAGTTACAAACAAAGCTGGCAACATTAAACGGAAGCTGTTGGGCTCACTCACCAACACACTCACATAAGCAAGCAAAGCAGCAACTGCTTCAAAACGAGCACAAATGAGTGTCGTGATTGTCGGGAATGACCAGATCGGTGCTGGATCACAACAGAAGACGACATTCACCAGTTGCTTTTTACTTCTTTCGTCAACTTGATGGATGGTCATGGAGAGTGCTTTGACAAGCACATTGATAGGAATGTACCAAGCGTTACTACCATCAGCTGTTTGACGATCGTGATTGTGATAGGTAGCAACTCTGATTGCATTTATTCTAATGTTCAAAAACAAAATAAAACAAAACAATACCCATTTTTAGAGATCTCAACAGGTGTTCCCCTTTGTGGTAGTACACACAAAACTAGAATATGGGTTGAACTTATCAGCGAAACATAGAAAAGCAAAATTTTTGGGTATTGGTTTTTTAGTTTAACGGTGGATCAAAACGCTACTACGTTTTACGTCCGACGTGTCATTATTTAGACTTGACCTTCTTCATGGGATTTAAAGTTGAGCAGCCTTTCGTTCAGTGAAAAAAAATAATTAAAATCTAAAACTAGCCCTGATGAAGATCTCAACCCCTGAAACCGGAACAAAATTACTAATTCTTCAAGATCTTTAGAAGTCTATAGACTTTTAATATGTTTCCGGTGCATCTCTGAAGTTTGGGCCTAAAGATCTCTGAAATTCAGTTAAGTTCTCAAGAGTTTCCTGAATTTCTTAGAACTTTTTAAAAGAAACAGCAATTTTCCTGAAGTGAGTTGATCTGCCCTCAAATCATTTGATCTACATTTTGCATAAAGACATAGAACATTCCTTAAAATCTCTAAAGTTCCATGAACTTCCTTGCACTTACCAGAAAGTTTCGTTCTCCCATGATAATAATCCCTAAACTTTCAAGAAGCGCTCGGAACTCAACGTTCCTCAAATTTTCCTGATATTCATGGAAATTCCCTCAAGACCCCGCAACATTCCTGAAATTTTTGTAACATTCCTGAGATTCTTGGAACTTTCCATAAATCCTTGAAACTTATTGAAAGCAAAGTTTGTCATAATTGCTTTCAGAGCATCACAATCTGCGATTGGATGATTCGTGAGCGCTCACTCTGAGTGAACGCTCTCGAGTCATAAAATAGCTCTTCCTGCGAATTACAAGTACAAAATATCATTATAACATCTAATGAT